TTTTCACACCAGAGTAATTATTTGGTATTCACACATGTGTTGAACACCTATTTTCTTAGCATAATACCTAGGAAGAATCCCTTGAAGTGTGGGCACATATAGTAAAATATTTATCTTTAAATAATATTGAGTGTCACAGAGGATATAGAGAAACAAATATGAAATGGTAATTTCCTGGATGGCACTTGGTATAAAATGTGAGTTAGGGGACTAGCGTTATTTTTATTTTCCATATAATGAGTTAGAGAGTTGTCAAAATTATTTATTGGTTGACCAATATATTTCTCTTGCCATTTTAAATTGTCACCTGTCATAAACAAAATTCTTCTATACAACATGGTTTCATTTTAGATTTTAGGTTCTGTTAAATAAATATTTATTCTTAATCTAGTAATATACTTTAAAAGCTATCATTACTACATTGTTTTATATCTGACTAAAGAAGGCTTCATATCCTCTCTTCCATTATGCTTTTAAAAAAGAATTATTTATTCTTGTAATGCTCAAGTTTCCAAACAAACTTTTGAATCATATTGTTAAAATTTAAAATGTCAAATGATACTATTGTGATTGACTTTACATTAAATTTATAGATAACTTTGGGGGGTACTTTTAAAAATAAACAGTAGTATTTCAGGAAAAGAGAAAGGGAGAGAGAGGAGGAGAGGAAGAGAAGGAGGGAGAGAGAGAAAAAAAAAGAAAGGAAGAAGAGGAAGAGGAGGAAGGGAGGAAGGAGGGAGGGAAGGAAGAAAACCAAAACCAAAACAAGACCTCTTCCAAAAACTCCTGAGCCAGGAAATTTCTTTAGTAATACCACTGTTTCAGAAAGGCCTTTGAAGAACTTAGAGGACTTAGTAGAAAATGGCATAATGGACTCAATGCCATAACAGTGTCCTATTGTCCTCTAAAAGGACCTTGGAATTGAAAATAAACCTCGAATTCCTATGACTGTTTTCATTCCTAGAAAGTAGAAAATCAAACTGCTCAGCAGAACCCCTGCTCTATTTGGTGCTATGAGTGCTGAGTGCTGAGTGCCCTTGCCTCTCCACATGGGGTACAGAGTCAAGCAATTCTCTCTGAGCATAGAGCCAGTATATAAAGTAGAAGCCAGTATTTATTGTGGAGCACTCATTTAAAATGTTGGCGAAATTTTCTCTAAGCTATGTCAATACCAACGACTGGGAGAACTTACAAATAGAAATTTGAAAAAGAAACAAAAAAGACCAATTCTGGAAAAAAGTAGACTAGGAAAAAATTTCTCAACAGAACTGCCTCTAGACATTGATGGTTGGGAAAGCAAATGTGCAAGTCAAAAATCCTGGCTTTGCTAACTTTTAAACTTATATTTATATGAGAAACATATATATCTATGTCTAAGTAAATATATATCTATATAGATACCTCTATGTAGATAGATTCAAATGTACATACAGATATTTGAGGGGAAAGACAGTTCACTGAAAAAGGGAGAGGTCAACAAATAGTCCAACAGGTTGCTAGGCAAGTTTTGCTCATTCTGCCCCCGACTCCTAGGATCGTATTAAAATCAAAGGGGAAACATCCTCTTAAAATTGGAAAAGGCACTTTCAGGGTACAGATTTAAATTACTTGTTTCCAAAAGTGGCCCAGCTAGATTAGCAGTTGGAAGCTTCTGTGGGACTTTAGAATGGTAACAGAAGCCAGAAGTATATGCCAGACAATGGCAGAAAAGCTCAATACAGTTCTGCCAGGGAACAAGAAATTAAAGGCCTTCAGAAGTCCCCAATATTCTTTGATATTTTAAAATGGCATTCCAAATTTATCCTTCTTTACAGCTAAGTAGTATTTTATTATGTATAGATACCTTTTTTTAATCCATTCATCTTTTGATGGGCATACAGGATGCTTCCAGAATCTATCTATTATGAATTGTGCTGCTATAAACATTGGTATTTATGTCCTGGTGTAACATGATGTCTTTAGCTCTAAAAAATGTGTTATCTATACACAATGGAATCCTACTTAGCTATGAAGACAGATAAACTTGAGACATTTATAGGAAAACTGATAACCTGGAAAGTATAATGCTAAGTGAAATGAATCAGATATACAAGAGGTCCAAAGGACCAAGGGTGAGGACAAGGGCAGATGGGAAGGGGAAGTAAAAAGATTTAAGATGTGTCAGGTGTTTGTATCAATCAAATACCTACAATGAATGTAAACATCAATTGTAAACATAAAAAACAGTAACAACATTAATGAAAATAGAGACAGAGGGAGGAAGGTGGGTAGAGAAGTGAAGAGGAATAAAAAAGAATCAAGCTGTGTATGTGTATGTACCTACTCCCTAAGATAAATGTAAATATCATGTACAGCAAACACATACTAATTTAAAAAATATAAAATGTCTGTTTGAGCCTGGGCAACTTAGGGAGACTCTGTCTCATAATAAAGAGTAAAAAAATAAAAAATTGAATGAGGAATATAGCTCAGTACAAAAGTCTTAATTTGATCCCTAGTATTACTTACTAAAATCAACCAATCAGTCAGATAGTCAAGAACAGAGTTCAGACACTTACAGGATAAACAGATATTAAGATGGCTCTGAAAATGAGTGCAAAGTTCAACTGATATCAGAAAAAGTATGTTGACCTAATTATGATGAGGATAGGTGGAAAGATTGTTTGATAGATTAGATTTAAATTTTGGTAAAGACCGAAACTTTGATTTCAATGCCAGTCTGGGAGACATAGGATTAATAATGTAAGGTTTAAATTTACATATGATGACTGGGAGGGAAACAAAGGAAATGGGAAGCAAGCTGCAGAGAAGAACTGATGTCCATGGAGGGAAGAACTGCCATGCTGGACCTCGGTAGTTTGCATTTAACTAAAGAATCAAATAAGCAAAACTCTTTATGTGTAAAAAATCCCTTGGGAGTTCAGTGGTATTACAGAATTTTTATTTAAAACTGAATCCATGTGCTAACCTTGAGGAAGAGAAGCAGCTGCTTTTATCCCTATTTTGTTGGTTAAGGAATTAGTTCTTTTTATTAAATGAAAACTAGGAAAAACAGGTTGATGAGATGCTCTTTCTTTTCTTTTAAAATTGTGCCAAAGAGCTATTCCTTACACTCTGGTATCACTACAGCTCCACTCACTCAAGTTGTTTTTTGTGTATCCAGTCAACTCTAAGCTGCTGGATGGAAGCCATTGAAAGTATTTTTGGATTATCATCAGCAGCAGGAAAAGGGTGAATAGTAGATGGTGTTGTGCTTACAACAGATCTTTTCTTGTTCCCGTAGCAAAGTGGCCTTATTAAGCAAATTGCTTTGGGTTAAGAAGCCAATCCAAGACACTAACTTTGTATCTAACACTGGCTAGAAGGATGAGTCAATGAATGAGTCAAGGACTGGGGAATGAAAGTCTTTACCAGTCCTAGAGGAAGGAAAATCCATAATTCTCGGATGTATTTTGAGTCTTCACACCTCAGAGGGCAACAGACAATTTAAATTCCTTCAGTTGTTGTCAGAGAAATACATAATGGAAACTAGAACTGTCAGAATAGAGGCAACTTAAAGCCTCAAAATAACTAGGTTAGGAATTCAGTAGAGTATTAAACATTTAGATTTTACATAAATGCTAGTATAAGATGCAAATGCTACCCAGAAAACATAAAATTAATTTACATGTTATATCCTTGACCTTTTATCTTCGCCTACTATGATACTGAAGTGTAAAACTGATATTAAACAGAAAATGACCAATAAACATCTTAATTTGGTTTTAAAATATTATATATGAGAAATGTTTCAAGGGCCGGGGATATAGCTCAGTGGTAGAGTGCTATATGTGCAAGGCCCTGGCTTTGATTGCCAATATTGAATAAACACATAATAAACTATGGGACTGAGACTAATTCAGTTAGGGAGTGAGATCATTACAGGAACCAAGGGCTCAGCCCAGAGGCACTACTAAATCAAAGGGGTCTGGGAGAAGAAGAGAAACTGAGAAGCAATGGGGAGGAGGTAGGATGAGGTCAAAGAAGGGTAGCACCTGGAAGCCAAGGAAAGAATTGAGCTAAGTGCTGCTGTTAGATACAAGGACGAACTGGACAGAGGAGACATTAGTGATGTCTCTGAGTTTTTTTCACTGCTTTTTACATGTTTATATTTAAAAATATATCCAAATATTTATATATTGGTAAAATGATACAGTATCTCCACAGTCACACCACATTTCTAAAACTGTTCACAGAATGACAATTTCTTTGCTATAAGTTTGTTATCCAAGCTTCTGATCATTTGGACTCATGTTTATATGCAGTGTGTCAATAGGGTTGTGACAAAAATGTGTCTGTTTTAAAAATTAGATCTAAATTGGTTGTGATGGCAAAGATTTAAGATTATTGCAAATTATTATTTTGTTTTGTTTTGTTTGAGACAGGGTCTCACTATGTAGTTGAGACTGCCCTGGAACTCACTATGTAGCCCAGGCTTGTCTCGAACTCAGTTGATCCTCCTGCCTCAGCCTTCCAAGTGCTGGGATTATAGGCATGCACTACCACGCCTGGCTATTCCAAACTATTGACAGGCTTTAATGCAGTTTATGCATAATAGTTTGTATACTTTATTAAACTGATCCAGAAATTGTTACCTCCTTATCAAATATGTGGTTTCCTCAAAGAACCATGCAGAAAGAAAGGTAATTATGGAAATGAAATTTTTACATTTGTGACTAAATATTTCCCTTATTGAGTTATAGAAATTACTCAGTTCTGGGCTGGGGATGTAGCTCAGTGGCACTGTGCCGGTCTCATAAGCACAAGGTCTTGAGTTTGATCCTTGCTACCAATAAATAAATATATATCATGTATATATGTATCTATATGTACATATGTACATATAGATACATATAGAGAGAGAGTGAGTGCACTAGGAAAACTGATTTAAGCATATATTTTAAAAAGTCAAATTTTACAGCATAATTTCAGAAAATAACTTTTATTTTGTGTATTTGCAGGCAATTTAAATAGGAAAACTAAAGTCTTCAATTCAAATGCACCATCAAATTCAACAAATGAAACATCCTATGAAGCTGATGATATAACTCAAGAAAAAGCAATGGATAAAGCACAAATCACTACTGCTTACTAACGGAAAATTCTGTGTTTCAAAAGTTCATTGGAAGGCTGGGAATTTAGCTGAGTGGCACTGTGCCTGCCTTGCAAGTGTAAGGTTGTGAGTTCGATCCCTGGTACAAAAAAAAAATAAAAAGCTCATTGGAGAAATAGAACAGTAAAAATAAAGAATGCATTTCAAACCATACTTTGTAATTTGGCATTTCAAATATTTCACTCACAAAACAAGAACCCACTAAATTTTTGATAAGTTAATTTATTTAAATACTAAGATTTTGATATTTTTTACATGCATAGGTTTACTTTTATTTGTTGTTTTTGCATTCCATGAAATTATGCTAATTTTTTCAGGAGAAATTAAAGAATTTATCAATAACACAGATGAGCAAACCTATCTTAGAAACAATGAGAAGTTTACATCACATTACCATATTTCACAACTTTGATACAGGTAATTATTTTTATATGAGATGATGTTACTAGATAAATCTCGGGGGGACTGTCTTACAAACAAGAGGTGACATGTTCTTAAGTGACTTAGGAATCAACCCACACCTTTTTGGAGGATTATCTGGGGGAAAATATATTACCTTTATAAAAGTTAGTATCTAGTATAAAAAATCACATTGTATAACCTGTACAGGATGTGTTTTCTGTATTTCAAGGGCTAACCATAATAGAAATCCTTTGCTAATAAACTTCCCTAAGAATCCTTGTAATGAGTTATAAAACCATCAAGTTTCTGGTTTTAACCTAATATTATCACATTAATACTGCCTAGATGTCTAGAAACAAAACTAATTTCTACAAATTATGAATGTTTAAGTGTTTTACCCATAAACCCACAATTTTTGTTATAAGAACACAGACCTAGTTTTATAACGGAATTCAACAGAAAAAGGACTAACTTTAAGCCAGCTCCACTACGCACATCTGCTACTTTGTATACAGTTCCTGCAGTCAGAAGACAGCCTGTCACAATAGCCTCAGTATAGTTTCTCTGGTCTCCTAAAAAAAAAAAAGATGCCAATTGTTCATTGGCATGCAAAGCTCAGGGTCAGAAACTTTTCATCAGTAGGCTGTCAAGATTTTTACCAAGAACCATGGATATCCTCTTGACCAGTATTGTCCAAAGGAAGTTTCTGTGATGATAGAAATGTCCTTATGCACTGCCTGCTACAGTCACTACTTAAAATTAAATAACCACATGTGGTTATTTGACAGTAGAATCGCACATCATTATCACAACATCCTACTGCTTGACTTGGATTTCACATTCAAAAAGAGCCCATTTTTTGCCAAGGTTTAACAATTAAAGTTGCTTAGAATGTATGTGAAATGTGAAAGACTTTCCCATTACAAAAGTGACATAAGGTCATAAAAGTAAAGATTTTTCATTTATTTCTTGAAAGCTCACAGATCTTTTGTTTCAAATTTTTTTATACAACTTTGATTTTTAAAATACCTCAGAAAATTTGATATATAGGAAGTAATATATTATGATACTGTCTCAGGTGAAAATCTAGCTGACAAAGCTAAGGCACTGTAGTATAGTTTTACTTGTTGCTCAAGGGCAAAGGCATATGCCATTAATGACTGAAGAGGCAGGAAACACAGACTCAAGGTCAGCAAAATGCTCCTGGTCCAAGATTCTCACCTGTAGAACAGGCAAATAGGGGCTGGGCCTAGCTGGATGAATCATAGTTGTGCCGTAGGACAGGCACACCAATTCTCTGCTCCTCTTGAGTATTTTCACAGGAGCTGAGAGGAGATAGGTGAGGTCTGAAGACTCTGGGTTGGCAGCTGGGATTACTGTCACACTGGTATAAGAAACATACTGTTTCTGGACAACTGCCCAGGAGCTCTGTCTCCTCACACTAGGACCAGAAGAGGGTCCTCTGCTGGCTCCCTGAGGAGGTAGCTTATCACTAAGTTACCTGAAGTAGAGCCCCAGGGCTCCTCCAGTGAACCAGCTGGCATCTTTTTCTGTAATTTTGAAGCAGTTGTGCTTTATAAATTAAGATAAAATATTAACAACAAGAAGCTTTATCAAATTATGGCAGTCTATATGTTGAAAAATATATTTTAAATTATTTATTTGAACTTACCAAATAATAACAGTGCTATAATTTATTTTAAGCCTGTCAAAAATAAACTAAAATAAAAAAAATTCAAAAATGTGTATATAATATACACATATATATTTCTGGGAATGGGTGTGATAAATTATACAGTATAACTTTGTGTTTTTAGGCAATTTAAATCACTGTAATTTTTGGTAAAAATAATGAGACCGTGGAAAGAAAAGTGGGTTAAGCAAAATACAAATAATAGAACTTAAAAGAATCACATGACTTTTTATGGGACTTTCTTATAATAGCAATTTCATCTTTTAAAAAACTGTAAAGTAGGTTTATGAAATGAATAAAACCACATCCCAGTAATAGTTATTTCCTTAATTCTTTTATGGTATCTCATTGTTTATAAAGTCCAAACTTCTAAACATGAACACAAGACCTTCTCTTGAGCTCAGGACTCTAAAATGGTAGTCTCAGCTCTTACTGCTCCTGTTAACATATAAAACCATAGCAACATGCGGTTGCTTATAACTCATATATGAGTGTAACCGTATGTGATCTTTGTTCACATTATTCAGCGTGACCATGTCTCTTATCTTCAATAAATATGAAACTCAGGCATTACTTTCTCTAGGTGGCCTCTTCTAATTTCTCCAGAGTAGGTTAGGTATGCATCTGTGTTTCTATAAAGCCATGTTTGAGTCAATTACAGGAACTGTTTTATAATGGTATGTTCCAGTGTTTCCCAAACTAACTAGACTATGAACTCCTTCAGGGAAGCAAATGTGTCTTACTTAGAATTCACTACCTAGCACTGCAGTATTTGCCATTGTTGGTACTCTATATCTGTTGAAGAGATACCTCAATAGCATTTTAATGAACATTATTAATAACCTATGCCTAGTTTACTACTAAGAGTGACCTAGAGTTGTATAACTTTAGATAGTACAGTAAATACAGGCACATATAGTTATTTTATTTCCCATTCATTGATGCTTTGGCTTCAGAGAACTAAAGATGTAAATGGAGAAAAATTAAGTGTGAAGAACTAAAAATTCCTCTGAGAGATTTCAGCCAACAGATGATATGGAGAAAAAAATGGAGAAACTGTGGGGCAGTAGGTCTAACACTTAAAAACAATAACCTCAAAGTGTTTAGATAATGTGGTTAGAGATGCAAATATAAATTGTCTGTATTTAATGAAAATGACATACATTGGGTGGTAACAAAACGAACAAACCAAGTATTATTTATCTGTTAAAAAGTTTATATGTTTAACAGCTATAAATTTAAACTTTAATATTATTGAACACTATAACAACTGCTTATCTATGAACAACTTTTAAATAAGTATTATTTGAATTATAATAAAATATTAGTAATCATATACAATAAAGACTAGAAGTGATGTCAGAGATAATTTAGTACCACAGCTTCTAGGTAAAAGACATCAGGCCACAAAAAAGCTAGAAGACTTTGCTGAGAGATATACAGGGTTACACTAAGAGAGTCCAACTACCTATTAAAGAATGGTCTTGACTTCCGGATTATTACTGTTAAAGTTCATTTTCCTTCTTCTACATACTATCAGAGATGAAATTTTATGAATTTCCCCTGAAATTTAATAGTGAGATCATTTAGAGAAAATCAGTAAAAATAAATGGCTTTTATTCAAATGAAATTATTTTATAAACTGTGCCAATAGGAAATCAAGAATAATTCTAAGATTATTTCTGGGGAAAAATTACAGAGCCATTAAAATCTTTTATTTTCTATACTATATTAGTTAATGAGGGCTTATATATAACTTCTGAATCATTAATTCACTGTTCCAAAAACAAACGTAATGAATTAATTTATAATCTTTATAATTAACAGAAGTAAAACATATATAACGTGATGAACTGTACTGCAACTGCTACCATGTCACATATACAATGGGATGAGGCCATCCTTTTGTATGTAGCATCTACTAATCATTTTTAAAATGTTTTTTTCTTTGCCACCAATTTCAAAAATCATGATAACCAAAGAACTGAAATTTTATAAGATGAACAGCAAAGGCAAAACAAACCCTTAAAAATCTAATAGTTCTGTTTTTCTGCTGACTGAACTCTTTAAACAAAAGAATTTCTTTTTGAGGGAACCAAGTGAGTAAATGAGGTCATGGAAAAGCCAGGGGTGTGAGGCTTCTGAGGCTCAAATGCCAGGACAGGGTTGCTGGTGCAGTTTCCCCAGAGTTTTGAGCATGAGGCATGCTGGGTAAGGTGTACCCTGAAGGAAGAATCAGTAACCTCGTCCAGCCTGTGAGGTTTAGACAACATAGCTCATTTCACCATCATGAATTAATCTGGAGCTCTGTCTGTGGGTTACCAACATGAAAACTTCTAAGTGCACCATAATGAGGTACTTGGGATCTTTGGTGCTTTTGCATGATCATAGGTTGAGTTGCAATGTTGTTACAATATGAATATTTAACTTATTGGGTATCAGGAATACTAAGTATTAAGCAAATTAAGTAACACTGATCGCTCTTAAAATTAAAAATAAGAAATATATCTAATAACATGCATGTTAAAATACTTACTCATAGAAAATGTCCATTGTTATACAAAGGCTTTCATGATGAATTCCCTGATTCTTAAATTTTAAGAAGTACAGAATAAAATTTTTAATTTTAAATTTTTGTCACTCCTACCGATATTTGTGACTGAGGTAAAAGAGGGAAATACCTCAAACTTGTTATTCCTGAAAGAAGAAAGTCACTGTGAAACTTGCTTCAAAATTATAAATCATTTCAGTCAAAATATATGCTAATGTTTTTAAAAATTTTCCACATTACTCACAGACATAAGCTTATGTTTACATATTAAATACAATAAATATCAGTTCTAATGAAGATTTGGCTGTTTTGAGGTATCTCTGTGAGACATGCCAATGTGGCACATTTGTAAAACCCAAGAGTCTACCCTAAACCATTGACCAACATAGCATCATCTCCGCCAGACTTTCTCACAGGTTGAACTAGTCTTTAACCAAGGAATAAGTGTTTTAATTGTTACTGGAAAAAAAGGGAGGCAGGTACTAGAAACTCCTTATTTCATAAATCAATGCAACTTTGTTATAAATATTTTCATTGTCATCTTCCTGCACTCACCATTCATTTAAAAAGAACTACTCAAGATCAGTAAAGCAGTTTCATCTCCTATATTTAAAAAAGCTTAGAGATTTAAAAACCAGAGTAAAGAATTTCACTCTTTATATTTTATATGATAGTATATAAAGCTATTCAAATTTTAATCATCAATAACAAATCATTACCCTTTACCTAGCTTCTTCGCTGAAAGGTGGACACTTGATTCAGGAATGCTCATTAATCATTAGGTAGATTACTTAGGTCGACAATGTACAAAAGCCATTAATAATCAACTTATGAAATAATAACACTAGCCAGAGACACAAATACCAAAAATAATGTGCTCTGTACATACAAATATCTATACATGGGGGTGTGACTATGAAGTAATAAGACTTATTTAAACACATACAGCCAGAAGAATAATGGTCCCACCAATGAAAAATGTCTATATGGAAAAAGGTGGGGTTCACTGCAAAGCATAAGGATAAAACAAAAATCCAAGAAAGGACAATTTTTAAAGATGGTATTGTTAAATTTAAAGACTTAGGCCAAAGTCCCAGTTATTTTTTTGTGAATTCAGAACAATTAGGGGTAGAATGCTTTTCCTTTTTTCTCTTCTTTTTTTCTTTTTTGTGATGTTTTCCTTTTTTTGATTTGTTCTTTTTTTCTTTTTTCTTTTCTTTCTTCTGATATTTTTGTTTCTTTTGTTTAGAAGAGTCTTCTTCAGTGGAACTGGAATAAGACCTATGGGCAATAAAACATATGGCTGAAAATTGTATTTAGGACTATTAGGTAAATTTAAATGGAATTTAGGTGGCTTTAAAGTCTTCCTGGAATAAGGAAAGGATATAAACATAAACTCAAAATGTACTCTGTATTGCCTTAAAATACTGAATTCATAATTTTTGCCATTGGTCACAGAAACTGACAAGACTACTCTCTCTATTCTACACAACTTTAGTAAGGACTTTTAAATTCAGTAAGGATAAAATTATTTTTCCATGATTTTCAGGTTTTTATGGTGTGCTATATACCTTCAAAACTTTTTTGTTTGTTTGTTTGTTTTTGTTTCCTTTTTTCTGTTTTTTTGAGACAGGGTCTCACTATGTAGCTGAGAATGACCTGGAACTCACTATGTAGCCCAGGCTAGTCTCGAACTCACAGCAATCCTCCTGTCTCAGCCTCCCGAGTGCTGGGATTACTGGCGTGCGCCACCACACGCAGCCTTCAAAATCTTATAAGGCAAACAAAGTGGCAGTTACCAAGCTTTATTGATGCTTGCATATAATAACTTGTTAGCATATTCTCTTAAAAGTGCTACAAAAGGATGCAATTATATCATACATATAAAAAGGCTATAAATATACATTAGTATAAATGGTCAAAAGCTGAAAATTAATGAAAAAAGCACTTTTATAATTCATTTGATTTTTCAAGTCATCTACAGTCTAGATGCAGAGTGATACAAATGAATACTTGCATTACAAAATAATTTAAACTAGTTACAGAAAAGATGCCTTTAAATGAATACTTTATGCAAATGAATGAGGATGATTTATCATTGTAATTTAGTTTTGTAATAACACCAAAATGGGGCAAAAGCATGCAACCGTTTCCTTTATATTGAAAAAGAGAAATTTTTAAAAAACAAAAAAAAAGGGCTAACATTTCACATATTACATTAAATAGGTGTGTTAACATTTTACTTCTACCCAAATCCAAAATATATGTGAAAAGTCATAAATTGAGTTAAATGAAAATAAAACTGGCATCTTAAAAGTTAGTTCAATGATCTAAATATTAGGAGTTAAAACTCAAACTTAAAAATCTTGGGACAGACTTGAGACATGCATAAGGCAGGAGCAAAGTAAATGCATGAGACTTCCGGGTTTCAAGGGATTTTATGCCTACAGAGTGAACTATGTATTCCTTGGCTCTGAGTTGCCCTCATTTCTGGAACATTGTATCTTTTTTCTTCACCTGATCTGTCTGCTCTCATAGATTTCTGACCATCTGCTAAGCTTATTTTCTAATGTGTGCTTTCTCAGCCTTTTTTTTAAAAAAAAAAAAAAACAGAGATTGAACCCAGGGGTACATCCCCCTTCTCTATCCATTTTTTAAAATTTATTTTGAGATAGGCTCTCCATAAATTGCTAAATTGCCCAGATTGGGTTCCAACTCATTATCCTCCTGCCTCAGTCTCCCAGAGTGGTGGGATTATAAGTATATACAAATGTGCCTAGCTTGCTTTGCTATTTTAAAGACCATTCTTCACTTAACCTCTAGATTCTGACTAGAGCTACTTCTCTGCCTGCACTTTGTTCTCTGGCTTTTTGATCTTAGACTCTCTTTTTTTTTAAAGGCAAAACATTAAGCTGTAACATACCCAGCGTACTACTGTAGGAATAGAGAACTGTAGGCAGGGAGGGATGTGGGGACAACCCACCCCCCAAGGAGTTCAGATAGCTGGCAGAAAAGACTTTACCACCCATGAAAAGCTGACAGTCTGTGGTTGCACCACCTCTTCAGGATATACCCTGCAAAGCTTGGTTTGCCAAGATCAAAAGGAAAAGGAACCTTGGCCCTGAGATGTAACCCCCCCAACCCTTCCCTGTTGTCCCTAGTAATGAGCTAAGTTAATCATTAACCTATCAAGTAGGGGACGCCCTCAGCCCAGAGGCAAGACAGGCCCCCAAATACTATAAAACAGCATCTTGAGCCTCCCCCTTCAGTAATGGCTCCGTTTTGGGGCACCCCTGCCTGTCTCTCTCACTGAAGGCAGCTGTACTCTTGCATGCTTGCTGAATAAAAGTGCAACTTTGCTTCTACTCTTTTGGTCTCTAGCTGATTTTTTTTTTTTTTTTTTTTTGAGTACAATTTTTTTTTCTCATTGAGTTTATCGGTACATTTCAGGTATACACTACAGTTACATTCATCACTGGGATCTTGTACCTTTACATGACAGGTCTTGGTTCTCATTTTTCCCCTTACCCCTGCCCTCCCTTTACCCCCTCCTCCCTTCCTTATTTACAAATACTTTATTTCCATTTTTTTCATTTTCTCTTATGTTTTTTCCTTATTTCCTTTCCCCCCTTCTCGCTTCCCCTACACTTTTAGCCCTTTGTTCCACAACCTTCTGCATCATCAGGGGAGTCAGGCCTGGGACTGTGGGGACTCTCTACCTGTCTCCACTCGCGACACTATTAGGTGACATTATCTTTACAAAGAAGTTTGTTTAATTTCAGGCTTTATCTAAGATCTGTGAGGATCAAGATGGAGGACTGAAATAATCTTTTACTATAAAATAGGTATATTAGAATTTGGAAGATAAATAAACTTCATGTTTCCTATAAGCAATCCACCATGCTGTTTTAGCACAAATAATTTAACAATGCAACTAAATCAGAAATCCTGAGTTCTATGCTCCTGGTGTCCTTTTTATTTTAAAGATTATTATTCAACGTTCAACTCCTGCAAGTGGTCTAACTTTTCTAATTTACAAGGTATCTCAAGTTTTTAAATTTCTAAGTACTTCATAAAAGCTACAAAGTGATAACACTATTGTACAGAAACTGCTCTGTGAGACAACTGGCCAAGTACTTTAAAAATGTCCATATGTGTACATTTTTTCCCCTCACTTATCAGGGAAAAGTTGCTTCTATTTTTGATCATTTCTTTAACCAGTTAGTTGTTAAAAGAGTTAACAGCAAAATTCACAGGTGGCTGATAAGGGTTTTGAAAGACCTGAAGGAATTTTTAGTTTAACAAGTTACACTAAATTCTATCAATAAATTAAATTAATTTCTTAGCCATGGTTATGATATTACAAGAATACAACATATTTCAGCTCCAATTTCATCTACTAGACAACAAAATATGTGTGGAGTTAGATGTGTCCAATTAAAAGCTTAGCTGCTGCTCTAAAATGTAAACATGTAGAATAAAAATAAATAGAATATATAAAAAAAGTAAAAGAAGAGGGGGTATTGTATCTTGATTTACTGTATTCCAAAAACAAAATTTAAGGTAGTTGAATATTGACTTTATTTTTGGTTACTAACAATAACTTTTCTATTTTACTGAAATAACTGAATATATAACTTCCATTAAGAGCTTATTTACATTAAATTAAATGAAAAAAATACATGAAAAAATTTTAGAATCCTCCCTGTACTCACAATCCTACTTTATTTTTAATAATTTGCTATTTAAAAAGTACCTTTTCCTTTTCTTTTTCAACTTGATTTTCTCTTTACTTTTTTCTTTTTTCTTCTCCTCTTCTTCATTTATTCCTGTGGAGGAAGAGAACAGAGAGAAAAAATAGAATCACCACAACTCTTTACACCAATATGGCAAGTACATCATTTTTTTTTAACTTTCACAGGTGGTAAAACGTAATGATGATACCTTCAACCTATAAATATGTGAGCATTACTAGAAAAAAATCAGAAATACTCTATGTAGATCACACACACATATCGAAGCTTGGAATGTAGGTTAGTGGTAGAATCTAGCAGTGGGAGGCCTGGGTTTGATCCCCAGAACCCCCAACTCTGGCCCTTCATACACAAATGACAATGCACATATGGAGACTCAGAATTTTCAAAACTGTTATAAGCTATCTATTTTGTGGATTTTGTCAGTAATGCCGGCAGCTTTTCAAGAACTGGTTAATAACAGTTGCCCCCAGATCACTCTTTCTCTAGGATGAGAGAGGCACTAAAACAACACAATGCTGGAATGCTGGGAGAGATTCTATGCTATTTTAAGTAGAATGAACAATTTTTGTTTTGTTTTGTTTTGTTTTTTTGATACAGGGTCTCACTATGTAGTTGAGACTGACCTGGAACTCCCCCAGGCTGGTCTCAAACTCACAGAGATCCTCTTGCCTCAGCCTCCCAAGTGCTGGGATTACAGGCATGCACCACCACGCCTGGCTACAAGATTATTTTTGAAGATCATCTATTCTAATTACACATAGTACTTGGAAATGATCAAAACAGACTTGGAAAAAAATAAAACTTCAGGGGCCCATAAGAAATAAAACATGTAATATTTATTTGATTTTTAGGAGAAAAAGGGTGGGGCTGAAAAAGTATCTTATATATAATGGCTAAAAATTTCTCAAATTTGGCAAGAGACATAAACCTACAGATTTAAGAAGCTGAGTGAACCTCAAGAAGGTAAATCTAAATAAATTCACATCAACATAAATCATAGATGAACTTTAGAAAATGAGTGAAAAAGAGAAAAATCTTGAAAAGAGAAAAAATGATAAATTATAGGAATAATTTCTTGGGCCTTACCAAATTATGTAAACCTGGATTGCTTTATTTAGTGAAAATACCTTTCAGGAATAAAGAAGAAATTAACACCTCAGATAAAAGTAAATTAAAAGAATTTGTCAACAACAGGCATTTCTTTAAAAAAAAGGTGAAAGACGTTCTCTAAATGTCAAAAATGATGATAAAAGAAGCAACCTTTTAACATTGACAAGGAAGAAAGAACACAGTAAAAATATTGGTAAATATAATTGTTTCCCTTCTTTTCTTGAGTTTCTAAATTATGTTTGATGATGACAGAAGTATAAACTATAATAATTATCTGATGTGGTTTTAAAATATATAAGAAATATTTAGGACAATTATACTGTAGATGAGAGAGGGTAAAATGATATAAAGAGGGGTAAAATTTCTCCATTTCACTGGTACAATGACAATACTAGTAGACTGTGATAAGTTAACACATAAAATGTAATACCCAGAGCAGCCATTCACAAACATATATAAAAAATAGTGCCAGGGATACAGCTCAGTGGCACCATGCCTATCTGGCAAGCTCAAGGGCCTGAATTCAATCCCTAGTACTGGAAAAAAAAGAAAAAAAAATATATATATATTTCTATTTGTAATATATATTATAATATATTACAAATAGAGAAGTATATATATTAAATAGAGTAATATATATCTTACAAATAGAGAAAAATTTTAAAACACTATAATGGATACATTCAAAGACACTATAAAAAAAATAAAATGGAATGCTACAATGTTTAGTAACCCACAGGAAGGCAGGAAAAAAACAGGGACAAAAAAGAGAACAACCTCAAGACCATAATGTTATGTGAAGTATATCAGACATACAAGTTTAAATATTGCATGGTTTTTCTTATATAGAAAAAATAAAAATGTAAATAAAGTGCAAAATAAAAGACAGACAACAGGGGAAAAAAAAAAGAAAAAAGTTACTGTAATCCAGCATGGACAGTGTATCTGAAAGTGTACCTTGATTTAGTACAACTGTCTTATGTATTTTATGTTTTTTGGCTTGTTAGACTGTATGTATGATAATTAACTTTAAAAGGATTTATATAATAAATAAATGAATCTGATTCTGGCAAAAAATTATTTTAAGAAATTAGAGGTGGAAGGAAAGGGGAGGAAAAAAAAGAATCAAGGTTTGATAGTTATGTACATGTACCAAACCAATTCCTCACAATGATTGCAACCATTATGTACTGCAAACATGTACTAATAAAAATAAAAAAAAATTTAAAAAAACAGAATAAAAATAATACAAATAAGATTGCAGACTTAAGCCCTAACATATAAATAATTACACAACATTTAAATATTCTAAGTAGAACAGCTAAAACAGATCGGCAGAACAGATTTATAAATGTGAATTAAAGTATGTGCTGTGTATAAGAAAACCACTTCAGATTCAATGATATACACATTTTGAAAGAAAAAGGATGGAAAGAGATAAATCATGCCACATAAATACTAACTGAAGGAAAGGAGAAGCTCTATGTACGTATTAGATATTTTATAGAAGAACTTCGGCACAAAGAGAATTTCCAGAGAAGGGGGTTTGGGGACCATTATATGTTTCAACTTGTTTGTAAAACATAGCAGTCTAAATATAGAAGTATGCACTAGCCAACAAAGCTAAAATATACATAGATCAAAACTGACAGAATTGAGATGAGAAACAAAGATCTTCAATTATAGTCAGAGACTTCAACATTATTATTGCGATTGGCAGAAAATACAAAGGAAGTCAAGGATAGAAGATAATTCAGTAACACAATCAACCAACAGAATCTGATAGATACTTTAAAAATAATACACCCAATGCCAGTAGAATTTACTTTTTTTTTTTCTTTTTTTTGGTCAATACCTAGAAAATATGCCTCAGCAAATTTAACTGAAATTATAGAGAGTGTATCTCTGATCACAAAGAAATCAAATGAGAAAGGTAACAGGAAATTGAAGTGTAAAAAATTAAGAGAGGGCTGGGGATTTAGATCAGTAGCACTGCACATGTCTTGCAATCCTAAGGTCCTAAGTTCAATACCTGGTACCAGGAGGGGGGAAAAGAAAGAAAGTAAGAGAATTTTTAAAGTGGCCAGAAAAAAGTAACTCATCACATAGAAAGGAGTATCCAGAAGACTGTAGGCATTTGTCAGCAAAAATCCTGAAGATGAGGAGAGTGGGATAACAATTCAAAGTGCTAAAATGAAAGAACCCACCAAGTTTATTATATTCAGCAAAGCTGTCCTTCAGAAATGGAGAGACAAACACTCTCCAAATATAGAAATCCTGAAGACGTTCATCATCACTTCTGCCTTAACAAGAATTGTTAGTTCTTTAAGTTGTAACAAAAAGATGATAAACAGGAACATGAAGGCATTTGGATATATAAAACTGAGTGGTTAAGGTAAATTCATAGAGGAAATAATACTATAATAGTGTTGCATAAAGAACTTTCAAATCTACTATAAAAGTTAAAATGCAAAAGTGTAGAATTAACCATAAAAACAATAGCTAATAGATATGCAATATAAAAATATGAAAATTGTGATATGAATAACACTGTGTAGGAGAGGAGTAGAAGTGCAGACATTTGTGAGTGAAATTATCAAACATTATAAGATGATTTATATAGGCCTATGGCAATTACAAAGACAAATGCTTAATACAAAACGAGAAAGAAGTCTGTCTTAGTCACCTTTTCTCCTCACTGGTTCAAAATACCCTACATCCAGAACTTAGAGGTTTATTTTCAGTCATGATTACATTGCCTACTAGGCTGGTTCCAAGGCAGAAATAGAATAGTAGAAGGGCCTGGTCAAAGGAAAGCTGTTTCCATCACAATGGCCAGGGAACAGAGAAAAGATAAGAGGTGGGGAGGGAGGTACACCCTTCAAGGTCACTCTTTAGTGTTCCACCTCTTCAGATCAGGCCCTACCCTCTAACCAACATCACATTTAGCTGTATAACACATGATCCAATCATCTTCTACAAAGCCTAGCCAGGAGCCCGTGAGGCTTTACGGGAACATTTAGATATAAATAATAACAATGTCTTCTATTAATAATTTCTTTAAATTTAAGTGAACAAAATGTCTCAATCAAAAGAATGGCCAAATAGATAAAAAACAAGATCTAATCACTTGCTAATAAAAGAGAATTATATTGGGTCAGGGATTTAGCTCAGTGGTACTGTTCCTGCCTCACAAGTGCAAGGTCCTGAGTTTGATCCTTGTTACCAGAAGAAAAAAAAAAAAAAGAAAGAGAGAGAGAATTATATTAGCTTTTATTAGCTTTTAGGACACACAGGATGAAAATGAAGGAATGGAAAAACATGCTATCAAATGGTAACCAAAAGAGAAAATAGGTGACCATATTTATATCAGATAATAGACTTAAGGCTAAAAACTGTTACCATTATTATATAATGATGAAACAATAAAACTGAAACAGATAACAATTATAAATATACATGTACCCCAAATCAGAGCATCTAAATACATAAAGTAATTATTAACAGAACTGAAGTGAGAAAAAGCAATACAGTTATGGTAGAGGACTTCAATGTCCTACTCTCCACAATGGATAGACAGATCATCCACATAGAAAAGCAGTAAGATATTAAAAATAGAGAAGAAATAAAGATGAGAATAACAATGGAAAAGATCAAAGAAATGAACGTTCTTTAAAAAGCTAAAGAAAATTGACAGAACTTGAACTAGACTAAGAAAAACAGAGAAGACAAAGAATGAAAGAGGATACATTAGAGTTTGTTACAGAAATACAAAGGTCATAATATATATATGTCAACAAATTGAATGACCTGGAGAAAAATGGATACATTTCTATAAACATACACCCTGCTAAGATTGATATAAGAGAAGGGAATATTTCAAAACTCATTTTACAAGGCTAGCATTAGCCTGCTATCAAGCCAGAGAAAGGCACCACAAGAAAACAAAACCATACACTAGT